CGCTGCTGCTGACTCGGTGCAATCGTCTCGGCGCCGGACGGCACCTCGATAGTAGACAAATCCGCCTCCGGACTCTGAAACAGGACCATCGGGTACAGCTCGCTGAGCCAGAAGCGGCGAGCGCACACCACGCAGCCTCCTTCCGCTCGGCCGCCATCCATTCCGACAGGGCAGCGCAGCTGCTGGTCGAAATTTGCGGCGATTGCGCGCTGGCGACTCATCCCAGGCACCTCACTTCTTCTGTATGCAAAAACAAAACAAAAACAAAACACACCTTTATGGACGTACATGCATCGACAGACACCAGCGAGATGCTGTCACATGCGCCAAGATGCCATGGGACCGGCGTGCTCCACCATCGCCAAGATTTTCTTACGGTATTCAACGAAAGCCAGCTCCGCGTCGAGAGGCCGCACACAGTGACTGCTGACAATGTGCTGCTTCAGATCCCCCAAGTTCTGGCAACTGAAGACACACAAGCGGCAGCAGTACCGTTCGGAAATCACCGATGGATCGTCCGAGCAAGGACAGAGCAGGCGACAAGACACTGCTTCGCACACACCAGGCAAACTCGGAGAGCAATCCAGCCACGCGGCGACATTCTCCAGCTTCCGAGTCAGAGATGCTTCGGGGTCTCGCAAAAACTCCAGCGCTTTGCGAACCACCTCGTCTGAAAGCTTCAGCATATCTTCCACGGGCAAGAAACACTGCTTGTTGCGCCGGCCCTCGCACCAGCCAGGGATGGCAAACAGCAAGGCCCGCTCTGCAGCAGAACGCCAGAGAATACCGTGTTGTGCATCCGGGCCGCTTCCGAGGCAATCGAGTGCAACTGCAGACAACGGCTCGAAGTCCGGGGGGTAAGCCTTTCTCATGGCCTCCGCCCTCTTGGTGGCATGATCCGTGTAATACCTTTCCACGCGCTTGACCAAGTCTGGATTCTCCTGCACGGAAGGCAGACGGCAACACCCTTCCTCCGTTTGCCAGCCGAGAAGATCATCCCGCAAAGAGACCGCTACCCGGTCTATGCCTTGCTCGCTGGACCTAGCTTCCGACACCGCGATGGGGTTATGCAGGTCGCGCACGCCGATGCTAGCCAGCGGGTGCAAGAGCTCGGTTACCAGGAACCAAGCAATTTCCGACCAGTCTTCAGCCTTCCGAACTTCGCTGAAAGTCTGGAACCAGCAGCATGCTGTGCTCGCCGACGTTCGTCGCTCCCAGCCGTAACGACGCATCAGCGCCCGAAGAAAGGTCTTGTCGCCCTGATCGAACTTGCGGGTATGAAACTTCTGCTGGATCACGCTCAAGACAGCCTGCCACGAGCAAATCACGCATACACGCATGCAAGCTGCAAGAAGAACCGGCTCGGCCAGACGAGTCGGGTCGCTGCTCTACAACACATCACGCTGCCTCGAGAACCTCTTTCCGATCCTCGTACCCGTCCGTGTCCGCCGCTCGCGGCTCCGCCTCGAGGTTGGCCAGATACCAAAGCCGGCGAGCGACATCCGCAGGGTCCGTTCGCTCAGAACAACCAGCGAGACGCCACCAACCTCTGCATCCCGAACTCACACGCACAAACCAAGAACGCAATAAAGCGAAGGATAACACTAGGAACATGAATCCAATGCAGACGCTCGCCTGCCCGCTGATCCACGCGATCTTCCAACACTGCCGCAAGAAGGCAATGCTGCATGGAAGAAGTGAGACCGGACACTGTCACTCCTTTCAAGCTGGCAACCGCAGCCTCCCACCCAGAG